AGAAAGAAAGAAAGAAAGAAAGAAAGAAAGAAAGAAAGAAAGAAAGAGGTAGGTAGGTAGGTAGGTAGGTAGGAAGGAAGGAAGGAAGGAAGGAAGGAAGGAAGGAAGGAAGGAAGGAAGGAAGGAAGAGAGAAAGACGGAAAGAGAGAAAGGCTGGCAGAGATGGACAGCAGATGGACAGATAGATGATAGAGTCAGATGGATGGATGAACGGATAGATGGAAATAGATGACTGGATGGAGAAAGAGAATGATGGATGGATGGGTGGTAAATGGACAGATAGATGGCAGACAAATGGATAGATAGATAGATAGATAGATAGATAGATAGATAGATAGATAGATAGATAGATAGATAGATAGATAGATACTGTAAACAGAGAGACAGGCAGGCAGGCAGACACACAGATAGTTGATGGATGGAGAGAGAGAAAGAGAGATAGAGATGTAAGAGGATGGATGGATGGATGGAGAGACAGCCACACAGATGTAGGATGGATGGAGGAATAGATGGAGACAGGCAGATAGTTAGAACAGGACAGGATGATGGGTGAGCAGACAGACAGATATGCAGATGAGCCATTAGAATTTACAAGGGGGACCCTAATAATGCTGCACCAATGACTCGCCCATATCTGCTGCAATGCTGCACGAAACCCACTCCACGTAAGCCATGAAGGGCTGGCCTTGAGGCATAGCTGATAACCACACATTTGGGGCGGGTGGGGGTGGTGGTTTTTTGGGGTGGACCCTTCCACCCAGAAGGATTTACTTCTGCCTGAACCCCGCTTGGCTCCCACAGCTGAAGCAGAGTGTAAGGCTATCTTTCTAATGTCTCTGCTTTGACGCTTTGTTCTAATCCGTTTCTGACAGTTCTGATTTTCTGAACCAGATATTGCATCTGTTCCGTTTGCCTTTTTTTAATAAGAAACAAAAACAAAACTGCTTTGAGTCCATTTGAGAGAAAAGGCTAGTTATTACCCTCCTGGGAAGCACGAAACCCTTAAAATCCAGGCAATGCTTTCAGGAAGGAAAGAAAAAAATGCACCTCCCAGATCAATTGCTCAGACATCAATGCCGCGTGGCAATCCCCTCTCTTGCCTTTGTCAGAAGCATGAAAATGACATCGCTGTTGTCGTCACCCAGGAAAGCCACAACTTTCTCGTACAAGCTGACAAATTCCTCCGGGGAGGCAACAGGAGTGAAGTAAGGGGAGAGCAGCGTGCAAAGTCTTCGGTTCTTCAGAATGGTTTGTAAAACCCGCTGACATTCAGACTTGGTCCCCGCGATGAACACCTGGAACGAGATGTGAGACCGAGGCTTCATTCACACAACTGCAGAAAATTCATTCACACAACTGCAGAAAAAAAGGACTGCAGAAAAACAACAACTGCTACCAACCTGGCTTCCATGGAGGACCTGTATACTGCACGAGTCAAAAAGAGGGCTGAGAAAATATATACAGACCCCTCACATCCTGGACATAAACTGTTTCAACTCCTTCCCTCAAAACGATGCTATAGAGCCCTGCACACCAGAACAACTAGACACAAGGGGATTTTTTTCCCAAAAGCCATCACTCTGCTAAACAAATAATTCCCTCAACACTGTTCAACTATTATGAAGTCTGCACTACTATTGCTGTTAATCTTCTCATC